CTGCTATCCATCAGATTACATCTCAGCTAAAACTCTGTGGAGAAAATGTTACTGAGAATGATAAATTGGAAAAGACTATCTCTACCTTCCATGCTTCTAATGTTGTGCTGCAACAGTAATATCGTGAGAAAAACTTTCATAAGTAATCACAGCTTATTGCATATCTTTTATTAGCTGAGCAAAATAATGAGTTATTGATGAAAAAGCATCTGTCCCGGCCCACTGGTTCCAGTCCGTTCCCTGAAGCAAACGTAACGTTTTATGAACGAGACCGAGGATGTAGTCGCGGTCGTGAGAGTCAATGTGGTCAATATACTCCTTACAATCGCCGTGGTATTGACATTAACAGGATACAGAGTAAATCCCAATATGGGGATATAGCCGGAAAGGCTAAACAAGGAAAGAGGCAAATTGGCATTTGTAATCGGTGAGGCATTGAAGGCCTTTAGGCCAATACCTGCAGAACAACCAAACACCTAGGCGATCTTTATCAAGCCTCACTGCAGAAAAAGGGGAAGGAGGTCGAGACTAATCACGTTGATAATGATGACGACCCCGATGATGATCTTCTGGATTACGACACAACACATCTTGAAATAGTGGATTTTGTTGTAGATCCAACAAACCCCCATTGACAGACATACTATGTCATTTTATATTTTGTAATATTTAAATTATCGCATATTACCTTTTTATAATGCATTTTGTAATACTTATATATGTCTTTATTAATATTGTGTTTATTTATATTTGAAGGTTAAATGGATGCCAATCAAAATGATGCAAATATGTGTTTCATTGACAGTGCAACGACGCATACTATATTGAAACACGAAAATATTTCTCCTATTTGAAAATGGAAAGAATGAATGTCAATACAATAAGTGGCAATGCAAAATTAATTGAAGCCTCTAAAGAAGCTATTATATTTCTCCCTGCGGGGACGAAAATTGTGATACAGTATGCATTGTTGGCCACTAAAGCTCGAAGAAATTTACTGAGCTCTTATGACATTTGGAAAAATGGTCATCACATTGAAACTATGAGTGATACCGATGGTGAATTTTTATTGATCAACAATATCATTGATAAAAAGAAATGCATCATTGAGAGATTACCCTTACTCTCTACTGGCTTATATTATGTCAGATTAGGTATTGTTGAAACATACCTCACAGTAGATCAAAAGACTACCGATTTTTAAATATGGCATGATCGCCTTGGGCATCCTGGCAGTATAATGATGAAGCGAATAATTGAGAATTCGCATGGTCATTCATTACAAGGTCAAAAAGTGTTAAACTCAAATGAGTTAACCTGTGTTATCTGCACTAAGGGAAAATTGATTTCCAGGCCATCGCTAGCTAAAGTAGGTATTGAATCACCTACATTTTGGAAAGAATACACGGGGATATATGTGGACCAATAGACCCACCGTATGGGCCATTTAAATATTTTATGGTGCTTATTAATGCATCTACCAGATGGTCACATGTTTGTTTACTATCTACTCGCAATATGGCATTTGCGAGATTGCTTGCCCAAATTATTAAATTACGGGCACAATTCCCCGATAATCCCATCAAGACTATACGTTTGGATAATGCTGGTGAATATACATCGAATGCATTTGATGATTGTTGCATGTCGATTGGAATTAATGTAGAGCACCCAGTTGCTCATGTTCATACACAAAATGGCCTGGCAGAATCACTTATTAAAATATTGCAATTGATTTCTGGACCATTACTGATGGGGTCTATGTTGCCCGTTTCAGCTTGGGAGCATACAATCTTACATGCAGGAACACTCATAAGAATGAGGCCGACAAGCTATTATAGCTATTCCCCTATGCAATTAGTATTTATTCACGAACCAAATATATCTCATCTACGTATTTTTGGGTGTGCTGTTTATGTTCCTATTCCACCCCTCAAACGTACAAAAATAGGTCATCAACATAGATTGGACATTTATGTCGGATATGAATCACCGTCAATTATAAAATATCTTGAACCTATGACGGGTGATTTATTCACTGCAAAATTTGCAGATTGTCATTTTGACAAATCATATTTTCCGACATTAGGGGGAGACAGAAATGAACCGAAAAGGGATATTAATCCCATTGAATTTTTGTGATCCTCATAGAAAGCAGTGTGAACTAGAAGTTCAACGCATTATACATTTGCAAAATATTGCAAATCGGTTATTGGATGCATTCAATGACTCGAGCAAAGTCACTCGATCATATATCCAAGCTGCTAATGCTCCGGCTAAAATAATTGTCCCCGATGGACAAATTGCAAGTGCTAATGAATCAGCGACACGCTTGAAGCGTGGTAGACCACTTGGTTCCAAAGACAAACATCCTCGAAAGAAAAGAGGAATTAATAATAATAATCATGAAAATATCAGAAATGACATTGATAAGCCTCAATCTAATAAGGAAGTCAACCCTAAAATAACTGCTCAAGAAGAGCACGATCTTGAAGAACATGATGAGATTATTGAAAACTTAATTAGCTATGTTACTTCAAGAAAATGATGGAACCGTAAAGAGACAATTATTGATAATGTCTACGCATACAGTTTAGCACTTGATATTATGAAAGAAAACGAGGATCCTGAGCCAAAATCAGTTCATGAATGTCGGCAAAAAAATGACTGACCAAAATAGGAAAAAACGATTCAATCAGAACTTGACTCATTAAACAAAAGAGAGGTCTTCGGACCAATTGTTCAAACACCAAATGACATAAAACTAGTTGGATACAAATGAGTGTTTGTACGAAAAAGAAATGAGCATAATGAAATTGTGAGATATAAAGCCCGTCTTGTAGCTCAGGGATTCTCACAAAGACTTTGAGTAGATTTTGATGAAATATACTCTCATGTTGTTGGTGGAATAACATTTAGATACCTTGTGAGCCTAGCAGTGCGAGGAAAGCTCGATATGTGTCTTTTAAACATAGTTACTACATATATTTATGGCTTCTTGGATACTGATATTTATATAGAAGTTCCTGAGGGATTCAATATGTCTAAAGCATATAAATTAAACCCAAGTGAATCATATTCCATCAAATTGAAAAAGTCATTGTATGGACTTAAACAATCAGGTCGAATGTGGTATAACCGTCTCAATGATTGTTTAATAAAAGAAGGTTATACTAATGATCCAATATGCCCTTGCGTCTTTATAAAGAAAAATGGATCAAATTTTGTCATTATTGCAATATATGTTGATGATCTCAACTTAATTGGAACTCCAGAAGAGATCCAAATTTCAGTTGAATATCTAAAGAAAGAATTTGAGATCAAAGATTTTGGAAAGAAAGAATATTGTTTGGGATTACAAGTGGATTATGTGAACAATGGAATATTTATCCATCAATCCACATATACCCATAAGGTATTAAAGCAATTTTATATGGATAAATCTAATTCTCTGAATACACCAATGGTGGTCAGATCCCTTGATTCCAATAAAGATCTATTTAGGCCAAGAGAAGAAAATGAAGAAATACTTGGCCCCGATGTACCATATCTCAGCACTATTGGCGCAATAATGTACCTTGCAAATTGTACAAAGCCAGATATATCTTTTTCAGTAAATCTACTGGCCAGGTTTAGCGTATCTCCCACAAAGCGCCACTGGAACAGTATCAAGCACATTTTTCGTTACCTTCAGGGGACTCATGACCTTAGTTTATTTTATTCGAGTGAATCTTGAAATGAATTAATTGGTTATGCTGATGCTGACTATTTGTCTGATCCACACAAAGCAAAATCTCAAACTGACTATTTATTTACTCGTGGCAAAACTGCAATCTCTTGGAGATCTGCTAAACAGACGATACCAACTACTTCTTCAAACCATACTAAGGTTTTAGCAATTCACAAAGCCAGTCGTGAATGCGTTTGGTTGAGGTCTATGACTCACCATATTCAGAAAAAATTGTGGCTTGATTACCGATCATATATTACCTCCTACAATATTATTTGAAGATAATGCAGCTTGTATAACTCAATTTAAAGGATGATATATTAAAAGCAATTGGACAAAGCACATATCTCCGAAGTTAATCTTCAGAAAAGTGGTGAAATTAATGTGCAACATATTTGATCGTTTGAAAATTTTGCAGATTTATTTACGAAGGCGCTACCTACTGCAACATTCAACAAACTGGTACAAGGAATTGGAATGCATCGGCTAAAAGATATCACATAAAGTCCAAAAAAGGGGGAGCGCGTTAATACAATAATGATGTACTCTTTTTCCTTCACTATAATTTTTTTTCCCACGAGATTTTTTTATAGTAAAATTTTAACGAGACACTTTTTATATAAAACATCCAAAGGCATCCAAAGAAAAATATTGTACGACAAATGTATACGGAGGATATGAATGCATTACACTCATATATTGTATGTTTGATTCTCCTCTATATATATATATATATATATAAAGAATGAATGAAATGGAGAAGGCACCAATTCATTCTCACACACGACTTCTCTCCTAATATTATATGCTTACCAAATAATATTATGTTATTACTATATAACATATCTAACTTTTTAATAATGGAAACTAAGAGTTAAAATTCCGAAAATTGGACCTACCAATAGGCAATAGGAGAGTTTGTTGGTTGGGAGTAGAGACGAGACGAGACGAGACAGCTACCTACCCTACTCCACATTAATTAATTTCTATATTTATTATTCTTCAACAACTCAAACCAAGTGCCGGCCCGGCTGCCCCTGCCCCCCCCCCCTACACCAGAAGCTTCCTACTTTATTACTATTATTATTATTATTGTTATTATTATTATTATTATTATTATTATTATTACTTCTTAATTAATTTTTTAATAAGATAACAATCTGCAGTTTGTATACATACGCACGTAACGCCACTCTGGGACAGACTCACAATAATCTAATCTACAGACTAAACCATCAGGATAAATTGCAGTGTCCTATACAGACAGACATAAAATTAACAGATGAAGCATTATTATAATTAATTACAACACAGATGCAAAATCAAGAGTTGCTCTCTCTGTCTCTCTCTGTGCCTATATATATATATATATATAAATAAATACTAGTGTAACATATGATGGATGGATGTACCCACCCAATACATTAAAATACTCGGTAGTAGTTGTCGTTGTAGAAGAACAAAAAAATTGTCTAAGCCATTACATTACATTACATTACACATTACAACACGCACTGCATTGGGGCTTCCTTTGTTTGCGTTGCCGGTTGCATTCACTCCACTCCACTCCACTTCACTTCCAAGTTATCAAGAATAACGATAGTAATAATAATATTCATTCATTCATAATGGTAGTTGTAGTAATTATTACAGCACAGCACAGCACAGGATCTTTGTCCATCCGTCACCATACGTCGCGCAAGTACCTTCCGTTCATCTGCAGATTCTTCACAAGGCTCTCGGTTTTCGAGCTGTCCAGAGAACCCTGAACACCACACCCGCCATTGTCATTGTCATTGTTTACCATAAAATCTTATATAATAATAATGACAATGAAAGGAGCACTCCCCAGAACCAATCTAGCTAACTAAGATTTGGAGCCACAAGTTATATTATGTGGTGGAGAGAAATCTGCCAAGAATAGAATAGACTGGAGAGAAGAGAAGAGAACAAAACGACAAACCTGTTCTTGGACAACAGTGTGTAGGGTCCGGTGGACATCACGTGCCATGCCTTTGGCGTCACCACATACGTAGACATAGCCTCCCTCGGATATCATATTCCAGATATCTGAAGCCTGTGTTTTGTTTTCTTGTGTTGTGTTATTCTCGTCCATAAGCCACATTGATTCCAAATAATAATAACAATAATAATAATATCATAATAGTTCTAGAAGCCACGTGAATGAATGAACATCTCGGCACCTACCTTCTCAGCCATTTTGTGCTGTACGTATTCTTTTTTGGGTCCCTCCCGTGAGAATGCCAAGACAAGCTCAGAAATTACCCCTGCTTCCACAAACTTGTTCAGCTCTTCTTCGTAAATGAAGTCCTGCAGAAGCAAAAGCAAGCACAAGCATGTGTTCAACAATTCCAATATGTACCATACCAGTTTGAACACACTAGGGCAAGTAAAATGAAATTCCCAGTAGATCGAGTACCAACCATTTTCCGGTTCCTGCATCCGAAAAATAACAAAGCCGGACCCAACTCAGCTCCAGATTCCTTCAGAGCTAACCTCTCCTGGAATACAACAACATTTTTGTAATGTTATTATTCGATGAGAGATGGGGCAGGCAATCAGGAACACATAACGCAGACATGTAGTAATAAAACCTGAAGGAAACCCCGGAACGGTGCCAAGCCAGTTCCAGGACCAATCATTATTATTGGCACTTTAGGATCGGCGGGAAGTCTAAAGTTAGAGGTTCGGACAAATATCGGTGCAGCACTGCAGTCTTGGCTTTCCTCCATGGGCACAGCATTCTGAGGAAAAACACAAGCCAAGCATACAAAAGTTGTTAAAATAATGAACTCATTTAAAAAGTTGGAAAGATTTGCTCCATCTCAGATAATCTTGAGGAGTGCAACTCAAATTCAGAATCAAAAATACCTTCATCCATGTGGAGCAGACACCCTTGTGGATCCGTCCGGTGGGTGTTTTCTCATACACCAATGCACACGTCACATGTATTCTTGAAGGCGCAATCCTGAAACATCCAGCAACGATGAGAGCTTGCAGAAAAGATATCGGCCAAAAAGACATGCGCAAAAAAAGCAACATAATCAAACTGCTAACTTTAAGAAAACCCATCATAGAAATAAGAACTAGAATAGCCTAGATAGTAAGGCCCATTGCAAGTCAAACTCGAGCACTGTCTCAAACTACACAAGGCAAAAGACAAAAGCTTACTTTGGGGAAGATGAGATGGAATAAAATCTGGGCTGCAGGCGAGGGGCAACTGCAGCAAAGAAAACACCAAGTGGGGGCTTGGCAGAAGGGAAATCAGCCATAACCTCAAGCAGGCTTCTCTGACTTGCAACTACATATTGCGCGAATTCTTCCTGAAATACATTATCATATACGTGTACTTTAGAAAAATGTCTAATGGTCAATCAGTGTCACTTGCGTAATGACTTTACTCAGCCTAACCTTTCCAGCAGGAGAAGCAAGATGTTTGAGCCGATCAGCTTCACTCTGGTCCGAGGCATAGGCCGCTAAAGCAAGGAACGTAGACTGAAAAGGTAGAACATTTTGGCCCTTAGCTCCAAGTTACATAAAATAGAAACCCCAATAAAAAATGAAATTACACAAGAGATTGACCAGCATACCTTTTTCGGAGCACTCAAAAGATCTGCATATCGTGTTAGTGCAGTTCTTAGAGTGCAAGGAGGGAAGGGAGGGGGCAGTGAGCCTCCACTGATCGGGGTGCCATCCTCACTATCAGCATAGAGTGAGAAATATGTTTGTGGGGGCATATTGAGCAACCTCTCTGCCTCCTCCACGGTTTCAATCAAGTTCTCACAGTAAACACCAACATGATCACCAGTTTCATACCTGAAGAAAGAAGTAAATTACCATCACATCTTCTGCAATCAAGTTCAAAGTCTGCAAGAACTCATAATTGATCCCAGCAGAAAATAGATTTGGAGGAAATCAAGAGGAGCTTACTTTAGTCCAGTGCCGGATATGTCAAATTCCAAGTGAGTGCAAGAACGATCTGATGCAGGAGTGTGAAGCTCTTTTCTTACAGCAACATTTGCTCTTTAAGAATAAAGTACATATAGATGTTAGGAAATACGACAAGATAGATCATTTTCCCATTACACGAATAAGGAGAATATAGACATAGCCAATACCTGTAGGGATGCTGAGCATCATACACTGTATTTCCATTGGCGTAACCATTGGCAGTGCCATTCTCAGCTACTTCATCATGGAAAGCAACACGATATTCCAAAATTTGAGCAGTGTATGGAGTAGTAGCAGATGCATCATCCTCATTAAGAAGCAATTTATCCAACTCTGGCCAAACTAATTCCCGCCTGTGTTGCCAAAATAAACAACCAAACGATCATATTTCATTCTGCAAACAATAATAAAGTTAAATGACTTAATGAAGATCAGTAGTCTCAGTACCAAGCGGTAAAATCATCTTCAATGCACTGATCATCATCTCCAAGACCCACTGGCACAAGCCGCTGTGCACCTGAATTAGAAATTGCTGGTAAGTAACAGAATATGAAGATCACAACAGATCAACCATCCTAAAACTATATGCTTCCTTGCATTCCTTCCCAAAATTTTCGTATTCGAAACCACATCAAGCCGTGGAAAAATCCCATCAATTAACAATTAAAGAGAAACTATCTAGTAGCAAACACAACATCAAATGAAATAAGATGATTGAGAGAAAGATATGTTACAAGGATAGTACAAATTACAAAATTGTAGGACAACACTGGACGACACCAAAGAACTAAAATGATTGACAACACCAAGCAAGAGATGTAACATTGAAGGCCATGTTAAGCACAGAAAAACAAATTAGAATACCTTGCTCAGCAAGAAGGTTATCCACCACAATCCCAATCTGTCAAAAAATTTAAGCGAAGAAGGAAGTAAGTAACAGAAAAACATTTGCCTAGTAGCAACTGCACATATATGATGGTATGATGTATACACCTTATTGAAATGCTCATACTGCCTGTTCCCAAGACCAAACACACCATACTGAAGATTCTTAAGCCAAACACCCTTCTCTTCTCCCTGCAAAGAAGGCTTAGATGAATCAAAACCAACTCTCAATCCAGCCACAAATCCAAGAGAAGATTGGCTATTAATTAAATGTTTTTTACCTCTGTGAACCATTTGTAAAACCTGGCTGCGTTGTCGGTAGGCTCCCCATCTCCATATCTGCAAGCAAATAGCGCTCAATTAACCGAAAAATTCACAAGGACCTAAAAGAAAAACTATACCACCGCATGATCTGCACTTGCGCATACAAACATGTGTTCATGATACAGTAATAAGGTCAAGGTGCTTGTGCAAATTAGGGGAAGGTAAGAAGTAGAAATGAAATGAACGTACGTAGCCAAGAAGAAGAATGCCACAGTTTCTTTCTTCATCTTTTCCTGGTACTCTTCATCATCATCAGCGTAATCATCCTTCACAGCATCGGAATTATCGAGAATAAGAATTGAGGAAAACGTGACAAATCTGAAAGATGAATATGTATGTAATTGAGAACTTACTATGTCAACCACTTTAAACTTGGCCTGTTGATATCTAGCCTTAGCTTCCTCAGCCAGTGCCTGCAAACAAGCAAAATAACAAATTGACTTACCGAACAAGAAGAACAACAACAAGATTGACCTTCAAATTAAATTCTGTATGTTTGTTCTCCAGATTCGACCGACGAATCTAGCCAGTCGTTGAAGAAAAAGCTTTATCAAACCTAATCTAACCCCCAATGATCCGATCCGTCTCCCGTACGGTAGAATTCATCGTAAATCGGTTCCCGATTTCGCTTCCCAATCCAACCCTCATCTCTTATGGCTGACTACTTTTTAACAAAAGTGAAAAATGAAAACTACTACTGCCACTGCTAGTACTACTTTTTGTGTGTGTGTTTCTCCTTTTCACCTTAGCGAAGCCTTCAGCTGTGCCGGTCTGCGTGCCGAAAAAGATGGTAACCTTCTTCGTCCCATCGTCAACTTCCTCGGGCTCGACCCGGGCCTTGGGGACAATCACCTTGGGCGGCTCCACGACCTTCTTCGATCCGCCGGCACGCCTCCAAACGAGCACCACAGCACAACCGATGAGCACGGCGAGCGAGGTGGTGAGGATCATGACGAGGTCCTTGTTCTCCATGAGCATCGCAACGAGCGCCGGCGGGGCCGCCTCTGAAGATCCGTTGGAATTGTCCATCTTCACACCTTTCAGGATCGCGGACATGAAATCGAAGGGCGAAAGCTTCTCAGACGTGGAATCCATGAACCGAGAAGTGAATCGGAGCAAGAGAGATGGATAGATATGTATGTATGTATCAAAAAAATGAATCTAAAATTATAGTAAATGAAAGGGTTCAGATTTTTGCTCAGAATCTCTCCGGCGCCCGGCTGGAAATCGGAAGAATTTGGAGGAGGTGGGTTTGGAGAGACTCTGAAATGTAAATGAGAAGAGAGAGAGAGAAAGATTTATATATATATTGGGGACAAGAGAAGAGAAGAGAAGAAGGGAGGAAGGGCGGAGGAGGAAGCAATGGCGACGCCAACGCCTACCAAACCAGACTGGTCAAACTCACCTAACACACACAAAATAATAATACAATAATAATGATACTAAAAGCCACAAATCAATGGTTGGAACTTGAAACACTTTCCTGAGTTTTTCTTTTTATTGTTTTTTTATTTATTTGTCATTATTTAGTATTTTAGTAAATATCACATTAATTATATATATATATATATATATATTTTTATAAAATATTGTATTAAATATTAATTTTTTATATTTTTAATTTTTAAAATTTTACATTATATTTTTTTTATTCATTTGGCATTATTTGTATTTTAAAAAATATCATATTAATTATTATTTTTTATAAAATATCATATTAAATACTCCATCTGTCCAACTAGAAAGTATATATATTTCTATTTACGTCTAATTACAAAGTAAACATTTCATTAAATACCTTACTTTTTTCCACAAATACCTCTATTTTACATCACATCATTACTTTTACAACAAAAAGCAAGGGCAAAAATGTCATTACACTACTTTTAACTACCCACTATAATTAAAATATTATTATTTCTTAAACACCGCGCCAAAAGTAATTGTATACTTTTTTTGTGGACGGAGGGAGTATTAAGTTTTATATTTTTAAATTTTCACATTACATTTTTTTTATTCATTTGGCATTATTTGTATTTTAGTAGAAATGACTTTAATTTTTTTTTTTTACAAAATATCGTATTAAATATTATATTTTCTATATTTTTTAAATTGTTTAAATTAAAAATTTCACATTACACTTTTTTATTCATTTGGTATTATTTATATTTTAAAAAATATCACATCGATTATATTTTTTTTACAAAATATCATATTAAATATTAAATTTTTTATATTTTTAAAATTTTTAAAATTTCACATTACACTTTTTTATTCATTTGCCATAATTTGTATTTTAGAAAACATCACATTAATTATATTTTTTACAAAATATTATACTCTCTTCATCCTAAAAGTATAATCTTATTGTGTTGGTAAAAAATAAGAATAAATAACTTTTTTGCCCTTGTGATTATATTAGTGTAAAAATCAGTGGTAATTGTCTAATAATAATGAAAATGTATTGATAATTTTATGGTATATGGTTATTTATGAAAATGAAATAATTGCTTTAAGATGACAAAAATAGTAAACAAAACTATTGTATTGAAACGAGTATTAAATATTAATTTTTATATTTTTAAAATTTTAAAAACTGCTATCTATTGTATTTAATACTCATTTCAAAAACTGCTATCTAAACGTGGCCTTGTGGCATTAAAATATTTTACATTTTTTTAAAAATTTTAAAATCTCAAAAACCTCAAAAAAATTTATCTAAATAAAGTCTTGTTTTAAATTTGCTATTAAAATAATACTACTACATATGTTCGGCTTTTAAAATCTCATTTACTTTTTTTGTGTGTTTATATTTGAATATTAATTATTACATCGTAGTACAAATTAAGAAAAATTGCAAAAAAATTTTCATTAGTGTATTTTAATACCAATAGAAGGACAATTGTAAAAAAATAATACAAATATAAAAATATTTTTAATTAAGGATAATTATACAAAAGGTAAATATGACCCTTAAAAGACGGACGGAGGAAAAGAGTATATAATAATTTCTCGAGGGAAACGAAAATCCAAATAATAAAAATATGAGATTTGAAGGCAGAAAAAAACAAACACATGTGATAAAAAAAAATTAACTTTGAAAGAAACTTAAATATTACTCCATATGTCGCATTTCATTTGTTCATTCTTTATATTTTTCTCTATCTCATATCATTTTTTTAAAAAAAAATTATAAATTATAAATTTTAAAAATTTTAAAATTTATAATTTATAATTTTTTTATTTTAATTAAATTATTTTAGTCAGATTCATGTTGATGTATAGTTATTTTTATTAAATCATAATTAATTTTGTTGATAGACTTCTTAATTATTTATTAATTATACAATAATTAAAACTCCATGTGTAATCTAAATGGGAAATTAGCTCAGACACTAGAGTATATAAAAATAATACTTATTAAAGGTTGTAAAAAAATACTTCATTCGTCCCAAACAAAGTGCAACATTTTATTTAAGCACGAGATTTTAAGTGAGTAGTATTAAGTATGATAATTTAAAAATTAGACAACATGATGAAGAGTAAAAGATATATATATATATTCTATTTAAGTGATATGATGAGATAAAATATGGAATAAAAATGAAGTATAATTAATTATATTTAATTTTGAAAATACGGCAGAATGTTTAGAACATATTAAAAAAATTATTGCATAGTGTTTGAGAATTGAGAAAGTAAAATATATCAATGCCACGCTCAAATCTTTTATTATTTTATTATAAAATTTAGTTAGGATAATTATATTAATATTATAAATTAATGATATAAATTAAATATTAATTTTCTAAAACATTAAGCATGAATGCTAAAAATTTTATTCCGTATATGATCCTAGCCAAATATACTATTTTGTTATTTAAGTACGTGCTCAAATGATTAGAGCTTTTGATTATTAATTTTAATAAAAATATATCGTCCATTAATATACTTTTCTTATTATTTTCAGTGTCATTCAAAAGTATTCTTTTCTTATTTTTATTAAAAAAAATTAATATTAAAATATATTTAATTTTTTATTTAAATTACAAATATATCATTATATATACAATTATTTTATATATAAGTTAAAGGATAAAAATGTCAAAAACTCTTACACACTTCCACTAACCAATTAACTACTCCTTCCGTCCCATAAGAAGGATAATATTTTTCATTTTTATCCGTCTCAAAACAATGATATTATTTCTTTATTTAGTAATTGTACTATCTATCTAACATAATTAATACTCACTACAAGAAAAAATCATTTTTATAACAAAATTTTTTTGTCTTTAAATCTATTTTTTCCGTTACTAATGACATTAGAGACGGAATTAGGAACGGAATTACATTAGCTACGTAAACTTTAGGGACGGAATTCCGTTACAAATATATTATTTTTTTGTAGTGACTCTTGCAACTTCCAATATATTACACAAATATCATCACTTTTATATCACACAATCTAATAGGTATCTTTTTGCTATAAACCAATATAATACTAATATTAAAAAATCTACGTGTAAAAAATAAACATTACTTTTCTTCCGGAACAGAGGTAGCATTATTATTTTTTAATTTATTATAAAAGTTAAAAAAGACCTCCTTAGGCACAAACAAATGTAAAAATATAATTATTTTTATAACAATTTTAAAAAATGAATATATTTTTTACATACTACCTCCGTCCAGCCACAAAGTACACAATGACTTTGTTGTGTTGATTTTTTAATATTAATTATAATATCAAAACGTAGTACAAATAAAGAGAAAATGACAAAAATACATCTATTAATCTCTTATAATACAAATATAATCATATTTTTTGAGTAAACTATACAAATATAAAAATATTTTTAATATTAAATACAATTGAGCAAAAACATATGGTTACTTCCTGACTGGACGGAGGTAGTATTAGATATCGAAATCATACCGGTTTAACTTTGGTTGAACAAACAAACTCGTTATTTCTTCCTTTTAATTTTTTTTTTAAAACAAATAAAAGTATTTAAAGTTTGTTTCATATTTTTGGATGAATTTATTTTTTATATTTTTTTTTGGATGAATTTACTTTTTATAGTAGATTTGAAAAATTATATCAATAAAATAAGTAATTTATATTTTTTATTAAATTACTGATCTTTTGTGAATAGATAAAATATATACATAATTATAATTGTAAAAAATCATATTACAAAGGATTAGCTCATAACTCATTATAATTAAAGGTGAAAATAAGTCAGGTTAGACTTTGGCTATATAGGTCTGAAATGTTTTAAAAATATATAACATAAGTCTGGCTTATAAGTCTGAAATAAAAAATATTTTAGAAGTCTAAGTCTAACTTTTTTTAAAATCTGATCTGACTTACAAGCTTGTTTAAAAGACTACATAATATATATTGCAAATTTAGTATTAGAAATAAAAAAATAAAATAGATACAATTATTTAATATATATAGAAAGTTAAAAATTATATTTTTATTTATAATTAAAATTATTTAATAATATTATATTAGATATAAAATTTTTCTTATTAGATATAAAATTGTTCTTAATATATAAGTAATAAATAAATAAATAATAATAATAAATAAGTGGGTCTGTTAATTAAAAAATATATATTTAAACTTGAGTATACTTTATTTAAATAAAAAGGTTTTAAAAATAATTTGATCTAATTTTTTTAATAAATAAATTAGGTCACTTTATGCAGGTTATATTTCAAAATATTATTTGGGATAAAATATTATTTGATTTTGGATAATTTATTAAGATATTAACAGATTTTGGATAAATTAGAATCTTTTCTAAATATAGATTTGGTAAGCAATATTAGTATTATAATTTGAGGTAAGGAGACTACCTCTAAAGCCCCTGACCTTTCTACACACTTCCTATTTTTCTCTCTATAATTTTAACTTTTATTCAATTTATTTTTCTTTTTCTTCAATTTACTTTTCTACTTTTATGTTTCTTTTAGCTTCTTTTAATTTCTTATCACGTTCATTTAATTTTCTTGTTTTTTTCTCCTTTTATCTTTGTCATTTTTTATCTGTTTCTTGATTTCTTACTATTGCGAACATGGTTCCGGATTCTTTTTGGAGGAAGCCGGAAGACTCACCCGATTTTCGGCAAGCTCGCTCCGATAAGCCGTCGAAAAATATTTTGAGCGACAACAGATTGACACGCCTGGTGGGACACGTGGTGTTCCTCTACATTTATAAACTTGCAAAAACATCAGTCGGACGATCTGATGAATTTCAAGAATGACCAATAATCCAA